TAAAAGAACTGAGCACATTGAACATAATATTTCTGTATTTGCACATTTTCTAATTAGCAAAAATTAAGGATAAGCGTTTGATTATCAAATATGTTTAATATGTTTATTTTCTGTTATTACGATTAGATCATAGGAGATATTAAATCAGAAAGTCTATAAAAATGCAGAATAATATCATCAATAGATATTACAATAAATAGTACTTGTATAGATGTTTTTATAAATTATATGAAGAAACCATATCATATTTGTTTCCAAATGCCATTTTATTAATAAGGAATTGATTTTTATCATGATTAATCTTGAAGACATGCGTGTTGTCTGGTTATATTATATAACACAATTCTCGAACAAATACAATTGAAAGAATTAAGAATTGACACATTTTACTGACAATTTATGTATTACTTTTCGTATTACGTCAATTAAACCTATCCAATAAATAACAGGAAATGATAGCATCTCATTTGTCAGCTTTTGGTAATTATTTTTCTTTTATTCACTTTAAAGTCTATTACGCGTTTTATAGAATGAGTATTTAAATGTTGAGAAAAGTCTTTTGACTCTATATTTAAATTACATATAAAATAGCATGTGTTTAACTCATTATAATAAACACTTGGGGTTTTTTTTGTTTTACTTAAGAAATTAATTTTTATTTTGATTTATGTTTAGTTTTTAAATGTTTAGTTTTATAACAACAGTTTTGATTTGATAACCTTTACTTGGACGATTTCAACCTAACATAAGTAATCTAAAGTACACGAGAAAAATTGCATAACTCTGACATATAATTATTCATAGAATTATACGTTCATAAAATTATAAATACGTTTATAAATCTATCATTTATAAATATAAAGTAACATTTTCAAAATTTATTAAATATACTTATAAATTTAATGTGCTGCTTTCATTTTATGAACAATATTTATAAATTTATAAAATAAGACGATTTTATGAACTTAACATCAACTTTCTGTACAGACGAAGTATATGAATTGCTTGTTCCGCATTAGTTACAATTATTTGATTTGAATTTTATTTTTATGTTTATCTATCTTCGTCATTTCTCGTATTTTATGTAACTTTTGATTTTATTATTACAACTTTTGCAGAGATATAAAAAATGTAATATCTACATCAATTGTTGGCAAAATATGACAACTTTGTTTCAATTATGATCTACAGTTTTGATCTATATAGGATTAATGTAAATGCGTTTGTTATAATAACAATTAATTCGTTAATAAAATTTGCAGATAAAAATATATGTATTTAATACACTTAATGCATTTAATAAATAAATCTCATTAACGTATTATAATAAATAATACAGTGTAACTATGATACGATAAGTGTTATTATTTGAACGAAATTGCATTGTAACAGTGTGATATAATTAATTAAAACGATTTAATGAGGTAACAAAAATAACTAACAAAATTAGGTCTTACAAATTATCAGCCGATTTGAATACCTTGATGGACAGGTTGTCAGACGATTTCTTTCGCCGACTGGATCATCTTCAAGCTGCGTACCATCACTCGTACGATGCCGTCGTCTGCGGGATGAAATCGGGCCATCCTGGTGAGCAGTCATATAACTGACCTTGCCTTGCTGCACGATGCTCTATATTGCATATAAATTGCAACAGTGCCTTTGCTCCAAGCAAGCAAAACTATGCATGCAAAATGTAAAGGATCGGACTGCAAAGGCATCCACGTAAAGGCCAAATCACGCTCCGGATCCAGCCGCGAAGTGTCGAGGAACTCACGAAGAGGATCGTGCGAGCAGACAGCGCGTCTTCCCGATCTCTTCGACTCACACCGCATTTCTCCGAGCGAGCCGCTCAACGCACTTCCACTCAGGCCTTCGCATTTTGGCTATCTACGTCTCTCGAGACTGTTCTCACCTGCCCCACCAGAGGACTTCAACTTACGTACGAGCTAACTTTTCAACGCTACCGGATCTCAAAGGAACAGAGTGATGTTAAAACCGTTGCTGTATCAGAACGTAACTTGCGTCCGACGGCGGGAAGTGATAATTATTGTCACAGACGACCTGGCTCAGACACCGTTTCTTTCTCAGCACGCCGCTACTTGCCGTTTCCGAGTCTTTGGGAGATGATTTTGCACCCGTTGGATAAGCACACAAAACTGCTTGCAGTCGATGCTAAAGCGAGGCAACAGTAAAACGAACCGACTTTGAGAAGTGGTTACAATTAAATCCTCCCTGATTAAAGACTGTTCTTAAGGAGATACCGTCCAGCGCTACCCCTTGATGGTTTGACCTGGAGTGACGTAAGTTTCGGCAACCTGGAGTGACGGACAAGGAGCTGGTGTTTGTCACAATGTCATCCGAGCAAGGTCGATGACGGACAGCGTTGCGTCCCCGTTGATAGAGACGAAAGAATACTGGAAATTTGGCTCATCTTTGCATCTTCCGGAACGGTGCGGCCGCTGAATGTGCAGCAACATCGTGTACAAGGCTTCAACGTTTCCGGAAGGTTTGACGTTCGATTTGCTTCAGCAGGTTTCGCAGTAAATCGATAAATTTGTTCTTTTGTTGCAAGCATAATACCTTTGTGCAAAGGAGATTATGTTGATCTTCAAACTTTGTCTAGTTCGATGTGATTCGAGTCCAATTGTCTCGTTTTCTTTAATGTTCCGTTTACTTTGGATGTTAAATGTTGGATGTTAAATGTTGTAAAAAGTCACATTTATCACACGAAAAAAGGCACCATTTAATAATTACATATTTCGGTCTTAGTAACCATGAATAACCACGCGTACTGTAGCACGTTTACCACGGCGCCGAAATGCATGACGATGAATACGTCGCGCAATGTACGGAGCGAATATCTTCCGAATTATAACACATTGCCGAAATGCATAACGATGAACACTGTCCGCGAACTGTTAACCGCGAGAGCAAGGCACAGAGAGCAACGCGGGCGCTTCGTCACGGAGTTTTATATTCGCGAAGACAGAAAGTTCTGGAAATCTCTCCCCACTCACAAAATTTAATACAGACTAACGCCCCCAGTTTCGACAATGTAATGTTGATTTCCACAAAGCGGACTATGATTGGCTGTGATATAATCGTCATACACACGAAGAATGTCGTGAGTGAGGTTTTCTCAAGCCGACATTATTTGCTTGTGTTTATAGATCACGTTTTCTGACAAACTACAGCGGTTATCGAGATTCGCGACGGCTCTTCGACGATATTTGAAGAACGTTTCTAGAATATTGTACAAAATAATTTTCTACAAAATTTATCGAAATAATTATACTCAATGAGAATTTGCACAAAATGCATCAATGTGCAACAATGAGTTTAATGCGATCTTATACACTTTTTTCGATGCAATATAATTTATTTTAAAATTATTGGCTCTAATATTTAAAATTGTACTTTTCCCATTTCGGAAATAATATAAAAACAAATCCGGAAATAATATAAAAATTATATATATAAGAGGGGTTTCGTAGGTGCCGAGAAAATAATAATTCACAAATGTAATTAACATAAATTTATTTCGTCTCGTCCTCGCGCTGTCTCCAAGAGAACTGTCCCTAGTTACCTTTATTATTAACAAAACAAAAACCATCTTGACGCTTGCTCCTATTGGAGAGATTCGTCTCTGTTTCCAATATTGATTTAATAATTACAACCGTTGTCAAAGAAGACGTCTCTTATACAGGTGAAGTAATAACGGAAAATGCGGCAGCTGCATCAAAGGACGAAAATATTCTGTTGAAAAAAGACAATACTAAATCAAAAAAGACGGAGAAGACGGT